GGGACTAGGCATGGCAACGTCTACCGTAGCGTCAGAGAAAAACAGGGAAATGTTGTTTATCGGCATCGTGTTTTACAAACAGTGACATCTCTGCGTGTTATTTCACTATTTTTTCGAGGGCATGACCTCCTGAAAATCGCAAATATTAATCCCCAGCAAGAAGCCACACTCTCGCTCTGGAAAAAAATTAGTTCCCCGAGACAGCGGCGGAAATGGAGCCTAGCCAACACCTAAAAGGCGCGTTACCGAACGTGCGTACGGAGTGACTTTAGCCGGGAAATAAAAAAACGCAGCCATAAGTGAGTTTAGTACCTTCATTAAAAGTAGCAAAACTAGGGAACAATTTCTTTTACGGTTGGTCCTTTTTTACTCTATTTACGGCTAACGGTTAAAATTTTTCAATTTTTACGGCTATCGACTAAATTTTTGGCCGTTTTACGCCTATCGGTTAACCCCATTGAGACCCTCATAGAAGAGCTTTCCAGCCGTGGTGTTTGTGTTATAAAGGATATCCCCTTACGAACGGTTCCCAATCCAGGCTACACAGCCAGTCCCCAGGCGTTTTCGGATCGGTCATTCCTGGACTCTACCGGACAACCGATCAAGAGAGAACGCCAGCGGACTAGGCTGCAGGGGCCCGTTTCTCGAAAGTCCCCGTAACTTTTCGGGTCCGAAATAAAATCTTCAAATCAAAATAACAAGAATAAGAGCGCGGGTCCTGGCCAGCAAACTACTCCAGTTTGTTTCATTAACTTATAGTTTTATCATGTTAGATGCAAAACTATTGAAACCTCAGTCTTTAATGTAAATGGGGTCAGCTTACCGGGCCCGTTAATTAACGGGACTTTCGAGAAACGGGCCCCAGGATACGTAGATGTTCATTTCCCCCAACGAAGATGATCGTAGTCGTTGGCAACCGCGTCTACATTTCCGAAGAGGGAATCGTTAAACCTGATGTTCTTTTGGAAAGATTTAAACAGCTCATCGACGAGGCAATAGCTAATCGACAGCGATCGATTCACGATAAGTTAGGTAAGGTTGTCGAATTTAGCCTGAGAAAGGTCGTGGATAGCCGTGGATTTAACTCTTTGTATCACATTTCAGGATAGCCGAACGCTTGGAACAGGTCAGCAGCGGTCACCGGCCTGGATATGAAGCGTTTAGAGAAGCTGTAGCCGAGGGATGAGGGATATCATCTCGTCGCAAACCTTGCCTCTGCTGGCGCTTATCATTTTCCATCCCGGCGAGGGGTTGTACTCAAACACATCTGCAAAGACCCTAACCTCATTCATGGGAGGACGGTCAAGGTTCTCAAGGTATTGCAGAAGGAAAATGAATTTCATTTAAATCTTGTTCAAGGTCCACTGGACCTTCCACTCCTAATTTAAAACGATGTTCTTACACGAATGGATTGAGTTTCTAAACGATTCATGTTGGACCTAAGATCAGCTGGAAAAGCGAATCAAGAGCATTTTAGAAAGGATCCAAAGAAGTCTGGTTCGGAAAGATATTCGGGATCATTCTCATTAGCTGGGTACAGACCCTTATATAAAAACAGAAACAGACTACAATATACAGCTCTTTATATATTCCAAGATTCGCAGTTTCTAGGTTCCAGGTTATAAACTTTTTTATTTTAAAGCAAAAATGGCAGGAAACTGCGCGATATACATTAAAAACTGCTGGCCTTGCTCAAACTTACTTAATTGGAATAATGCCAGCTCAGTCAAGGTTATTTACCATTTATATTTTACAAAATTTTTCCGGAACCTCCGGTTGGAAAATAAATAGAAGGCGACTTTTTGTGTCGTTCCAGCGGAAAATTTTCGGGAGCAATGGAACATCTGAAAAGGTAGTCTTGTTTCTCCGGACTAAATTTTTCCAACGGAAAATCGTGTTCCATTTCTTCAGAGCCATGTTTGATACCATATTCAGGCCTTCTCGGCCGTTTTTCGGTAAATTGAACTGATTTGTACAAAAGAGTGGTAAACATGCGATTCCGCGATAAACGTTTCCAATCCTAAATTTTGCTTATAACCATTTGCCTAAATCTTGAACCGACCAGTTTGCCCATGCGATTTCCGACGGAGTTGCTCCAAGTCACTGTTTTAAAGCAAAAGTGCGAATAACCTGCAAGCAGAGGTTTCTCTCCTGCTTGGCTTAAAGAGTCATAAACGAAGTCGTTCGCTAGCTTGTCTGTCGCGTAGTTAGTTTGTTTAAACCTAGTGAGAAAACAAACTAACCACGCGACAGACAAGCCACGCGAGCTACTTCGTAAGCGCTAAAAGCCATGCAGGAGAGAAACCTCTGCTGGCATCGAAAAGTGCAAAGCTATTGACATGAATAGGGTTTTTATTGTCAGCTCAAATACAACTCTCTTTTGGCTACGTTTTGAACGTGAGAGTCTTTGGAACTCGAAAAAAGTTGACTATTCCAGGTGTACTCATCACCTAGACAGTCCTCACCTAGACATTCTTTAATTTTTTTTTCTGGGAAGCTGCGAAGTCCCGCAAGGTTGGTTCATTGTTTTGATACAAAAAAGTCACCACGGGGCTACAAAATGTGAGAAAATGTCCCTTTTTATTTTAAATATTTTGCTTCAGACGTCAAGAAGTGGTTTTCATTTATATTTTATTGATAACTTTTACCAGTTGTAGCTTATTTATTTCATAGAAGTCTTATTTTTAATACAATTAATTCTCTTATTACGCCTGGGCCACATGTGATTTTACGGGATGTTGTCCAACTTTGATATCGAGTACGCCCTGGAAACAAGTCTTCGCACTGCCCAGTCTTCTCTCTGTCCCATTTCCGGGAAAGACGGAAGTGTTAGACGTGGATTCAGAGGAAGCTAGACGACGAAACCATGGCACACATAAGAAACACGCGTTTACGCAATCTATATGAAGAGGCCGAGTTTGACCGGGAACATGAAGAAGTGCAGGAGATAGAAGAAACCGTAAGAAATTTGGTTCAAGAAATTGCAGAAAGTATCGCTGAGAAGGATCCCCTCTTTAGAACCACCGTACTCCAAAGTGGCAGCTTTTACGAAGACCTCAAAGTCGAAGGGCCGAACGAGTTTGATTTTATGTTCTGTTTGGAAGAACTGTCCAAAATTGGTGTCTGTGAGGTAAAAGAGATTCCTTTCCGGTCTGTTCGTGATCCAGGCTATGTTCATGTACAAGTACCGCATCCCTTTCATGAAAAACGCTGGAAAAAATACATCTCAAAAAGCAAGAAATTAAAACCTAAAGCACTGCTGGAAAAGTTTGAAATATTAGTCAGAGAAGCCTTGACGGAGAAATCAAACGATTTTCACCCAAAACTGGACCAACACAGTTTTACAATCGAGTTGAGGAAAATTTCCGTTACATTGAAGCTCGTGTGGAATGGTACAAAATACAGACACTACGAAATTTCGATCGATTTGGTGTTATGCATTAAAGTCGGAGGATGGCCGAAAGATTCTGACTTGCAAACTCGTTTCAACCGTTCTCACCCCGGATTTGAAGTAATGAACAAAGTTACTGAGATGGGCTATCATCTCATAGCCTCATCTATCGGCGAATCTGGGGCACCTAGACCCTGTTGGCGACTCTCGTTCTCCAAAGCGTAAGCTGTTTTGCTGAAACATATATGCAGAAACTCAACACTTATGCACAAGGCCACTGTGAAGATTCTCAAAGTAGTAAGGAAAAATAACGAATCGACGCTTGTGCTTGAAGAGGAAGATGACGATGCGTTAGACTCGATGATTCTATCAGGAACTTCCGGAATATCTTATCTGATTTGTGGGGATTTCATTCTTACGTTATCAAGACAATGTTTCTTCATGAGTGGTTCGAGCGGCCTGAAGATTCGTACTGGACCCAGGACCGACTTGCGGAACGAATCCGCAGTATCCTAAAGAGGATCCATAACAGTATTCGTGGAAAGGACATTAGGAGCTTTTGGTTACCAGAATATAAGCTGTTCAACTTTCGTGCGAGAAGAAGAACAAGGACAAACAAGGCTGAAAACACAGTCTCAACCTTGATAAAACAGTTCGAGGAAGTTACCATTTAACGAACGTTTTATAAATGTAAAAGTTAGTTAACCGACGTCATTTATGAACTTAATTGATAGTTTCTGTGTTGCTGTGTAAATTTAGTAAACTTAATTGATAGAAGTTTTCGGCTTAGAAACGGACAGAACCCTTGGACAGACCCTTTGTAGAGTATATGTATAAGGACTCCGTGAACCTATAAAACGTAACACTCTAGAGTTGTAACATTCGAGATCGATCGAGGACTGAAGTTCCTGTAGTGCCAAGGCTTATATACATGTAAGGCAATTAGGAGGATAGGCTATGCCGGATAACTCGTCTGGCATGAACAAACTATATAGTTCATACACATATTTTTGGACCGCTTATCGATTTTTTTTTGTGTAGTAAAATGCTTATGCTGCTAGATATTTTAAGACTTAAAAGTGGAAGTAAAAGTCTCGGTGCCCAGTTGTTTGCTTATCAAGAGGTCCGGGTTACGGGCCTGCTGGGAGTCATTGTGTTGTGTTCTTAGGCAAGACACCTCACTGACTTCACTCCACCCAGGTGTAAAAATACTTTTGGTAACCCTACTATGGACTGGAAACTTCATCCAGGGGAAATAAAAAGATATTCCTAGTTGCTTCATCATCAGGCTACAGAAGCTAAGTTTAGCTCCGGCCTGATGGGCCACTTACCTAGCCCTGTTTGCAAGGGCGTATAACATTTATGCTCTGCCGAATGTCTACCAGGATGTGATATCTCTGGTGCTTATCCTTTTTTGAACACTATAAAGAAACGTTCATAAGGAGCGTTCATAATTCTTAGGGTGGCGGGGCGGGGGGACGCGGTCATTTGGACTTAAAGGCGGCGCGGCCTTTCTCTTGTTTAACAAACTGGGGGTAGGGGCTACTAAAGAAATAACTTTATAGTTAGAGACTTGTAAGAGGGGAGGGATCAGAACATTACATAGACCTAATCATGAGAAATGCCTGCTCAGTGGTTCCTAAAAGTAAGCCTATACATGTACATTTCACTGGAATTGCACTGTAGATTTTTCAAGATTAGTGATCATTTAACATCTGACAGCCTTGTTGGGTCACAACCCACTGCTTTATCAGATCAAAGTTCTCGGGCTTTGGCAAAGAGATTTATTTACTATTGTTGTCAATGCCTTAGTATAACTGCAAGCAAAGTACAGGAACAAAGAGTTCCGTGATGGTATCTTTTATTATATATCTGACCATCTTCAAGGAGTTAATGTTTTCTCTTGAAGGTGCACCCAAAGATTAAACACGTGCGGGAAGCTCCAGGAATAACCTGAATGAATAAAATCCTTCATTTATTCAAACATGATCAATGATTGTACCGGCTGCATCATCTATGAAAGGCGATGCACTAACAGCTTCCTCATTCGTCTCATCGCAATGCTCCCCAGAGGCATCACAGTATTTACCGAACTGTTTTGTTGCGGAACGAAGAGCCTTACCAACCTCCAACTTACTTTTGGATCAGAAATGACCGGAAGTCCTAAAATCTAGGACTTCAAATCCTGTGTCCCCAGAGCCTCCTGGTGGCCTGAGCACGAGGGCCAGGAGGCTCTAGGGACACAGGATTTGAAGTCCTAGATTTTAGGACTTCCGGTCATTTCTGATCCAAAAGTAAGTTGGAGGTTGGTTGAAGGATTCTCTTTTAAAAGCTTTGAATCAGCTAAATTTACAGTCATTGACACTTCTGCAAAAGCAAGTGAACGCTATTAGAAACGTTGTAAAAATCACAAATGACCGGAAGTCTAAAAATCTAGGACTTCAAATCCTGTGTCCCCAGAGCCTCCTGGTCCTCGTGCTCAGGTTCCCAGGAAGCTCTGGGGACGAGAATGAATCTAAAGCTCTCTAACCTCATTTCCAGTCGTCCTCAGCGATCTCGGATGTGACGTCACCTGTCAAGCTTGTCGGGAAAATTTCGCGCTCTTTTCCAAGCCGCCTCTGCACACTCGGACCCGGATAGCGCCAACTGGCCTGGGTAGGAAGCTGAAAGCTTTCTATTGACCACTGACTTGACCACTTCAGAAAATACCATAACATACCATAATACTCTTTGTTGGTCACTCCAAAATTTTGCATAAGCATTGTCGTTTGCGAGTTGATTAACCCATAACGACGGCGGCTGGGTGCTTGTGTCATGGCCAAATGACTGTTACTTCAAGTAACTTCTGACTTTTTGCAACGGCCGCTGGTAAAATTGACGGCGGGCTCAACATTGTATACCCGGAAGCGATCGTCAGCTTTAAGTTTGTACTTTGTACGTGATTCAAAATGACGCGCAACTTCGGGGACGATGAATTGCAACGCCTTTACAAAAAAGCAGAGTTTAATAGAGAGCACAAGGAGGTAAAGAAAATCGAGAAAAGAATTAGACGTTTAGTTGACGAAATCTCTGCCTATATAGGCCGCGAGGATCCACTTTTTAAAAACTTTGTAATCCCCAGCGGAAGTTTTTATGAAGATCTTAAAGTCGAAGGACCCGATGAATTCGATTTTATGATTTGTTTAGAGCAGCTTTCCTCTCCTGGTGTTTGTGTTACGAAGGATATTCCCATGAGACCGGTCCCCGATCCCGGCTACGTGGATGTTCAACTGTCCAACGAAGATTATCGTAATCGGTGGCAAAGGTACATTTCCAGGCGAGGAAATCTCAAACCTGATGTTCTCTTGAGAAGATTTAAACAACTAGTCTAGAAAGCCATAGCTAATCAAGAGCGGTCTTCCAGGGATGAGTTAGATGAATATGTCAATATTCAGCTCAGAAAAATCCCGATAACGATCAAGGTTAGATGGCATGGCAAGAAGTACTCGAACTATGAAGTAGCTGTAGATTTAACTCTGTGTATTAAAATGTCAGGATGGCCGGACGCTTCAGATATAAAGGAACGAGTCAGCAGGGGGCACCCTGGATATGAAGCGTTCAGAGAGGCTGTAGCTGAGGGCTATCATCTCGTGGCGTCAACTATTGGAGAATCCGGCAAGCCTCGGCCATGTTGGCGTTTATCATTTTCAATTCCCGAAAGAGTTATACTCAAGCACATCTGCAAGAATCCGAAACTCATTCATAAGGTGACGCTTAAGGTTCTCAAGGTGCTGCGGAAGGAAAATGAGGATTTTTTATGTCTTTTTGAAAGCCCTGGTGACGAGTTGGCGTCTTTCCACATAACATGGGTGTTCCATTCGTACGTGTTAAAGACAATGTTGTTAAGGGAATGGACTGATTTCCCGGAAGATTCATATTGGACCAAAAATCAACTAGGAAAACGAGTCAAGAGCATTTTGGAAAGGATTCGAAGTAGCGTGGTTCGCAAAGATATTCAAAGTTTCTGGGTTCCAGGTTATAAACTTTTTAATTTCCGAGCAAGAAAGCCAACCAACACGAAACATTGCGTGGACAACCTTGGCATTCTCTTAGATAAACTAGATCTTTCTAAGTGTAAGCATGTCGCGGAATTCAGTGTCCCTAAATATACCCCTGAGTCACAAATAGATATAGTAACAGTAGATCCTGTAGATTTTGTAGATCCTACAGAGTTTGTAGACCCTGTAGATTTTATGGATCCTATAGATCCTGTAGATGCTACAGATTTTGTAGATTCTATGGATCCCGTAGATCCTGTAGATTTTGTAGATCCCACAGAGTTTGTTGATCCTGTAGATTTTATAGATACTACAGATCTTGTAGATTTTGCAGACCCTATAGATTTTTTAGATCCTGTAGATTTTATGGATCCTATAGATCCTGTAGATACTATAGGTTTTGAAGATTTTATAGATCCTGTAGATCCTATAGATCTTATAGATCCTACAGATTTTGTAGATCCTGTAGATTTTTTAGATCTATAGATCCTGTAGACGCTATAAATCTTGTGGATTTTATGGATCCTGTAGATCCTATAGATATTGTAGATATCAAACCCTATAGCTCAGGCTTAAAGTGACCCCTAAAGGAGATCATACTACATCAGGCATCTATAGGAGCAACGGTGGCACAGTTGGTTAGTGCGCGGCCTTCGGTGCGCGAGGTCCCGAGTTCGATCCCGGTCGACACCACGTCCTTGTTTCAACTTCTCTCCTTTTAGTGTAGCTTTGATTAGCTTTAAATACCCTTAAAACGGAGCATTGGTGGAAAGAGGGGGGTAAAATGAGCGCACCGTCGACCTCATGTTTATCAGTTATTACTGTCACGAGTTATCGACGTAAAATATGGTTGCTTTACCTTTTACTTTTTTTAAGAGCTAGGTATAGGGATCTCGTGTTCTTTTTTTGTTTCTATGTGGTCAGTGTTGTGGCATTTTTTTTAAATTCGTATGCACCTATCAATGTAAAGCCGGCACAAGGGGAGAGGGGGAGGGGGGAGGCAGGGCATGGGGTGGGGATTTGACATTTTTCAAAAATTTGCAGTCAAATTCCCTGCCCACGGGCAAATCATTCCAGTCAGATGCAACCAAATTTCCCCACCCCGAGCTGCACATTGCGGTGTCAAATATCCCAAGACTGGACCCAAGAATGGCACAATAAAAATATCTCCAAATAAAACTCTGAAATCTTTATTTATATTACGTTGCTGCGTCACCAAAGATACATGTTCCTGTTACAGCTGCAATTATACGTTTTAACCATAATCCGTGTTACATTGCGTAGAATACAGAAACCTTTAGGCGAAAGTCCATATTTTGTAAGTTTAAATATACCGTACTTAGTAAAGGGTACAAAGAAAGTCATTGTTATGAACTTACAGTGATTGTAGCAAATGAGCCATACACTGATCAATGGTACTTGCAAAAATCGACTTGGTTGCTCTTTACTTCCGTTTACTTTGAAACCACAGTATCTTAAGAGGTTCAATTGATCAAAAACACGCTAAAACAAAAGAAAATTTGAAGACAAAACAGTGAAATCCACCCAGCTTTCGCTTGCTCTTGTTGGCCTCCATGATTTAAAGATCTTTCCAGACTGTACGGCGTATGCGTGAAGTGTGGGAGTGGGAAACATATGTTCGGTCTCAGTCTTTTTCGTCCAAATCGGCAGTCAAATATCTCCCCGTCGGGCGAAGAAAGATTCAACTATCCCCCCCCCCTGGGAGAACAAGATCAGTCAAATGCCCTACCCCAGGGCCAACAAAGACAATCAAATCCCC